CAGCCTAACCCCAGGAGCTTCAAAACCTCAGGAAATCACAAAAACACCATTTCTCCCTCAAATCCAAGCAATGGCATTAATATTCCCTGTAATTTGCAACCTGCTTTCTGCCTGCTCTATTTTGACCCTTTTTTCCATTCCATTTATTCCCAAATTTCTGCCTCTAGCACCTGTTCTCCATTAAAAGCCTCTCCAAGCAAACATTACCGGGGCAGACACGAGGAAAACTCGGAGCTGAACGTTCTGCTCCATTAACTTTCCTGACGGGATGATGTCCTTTGTGTTTTGAACATTGCTTTTAATGGCCCGTTAAGGATGGAGCAACCTGGGAGCTGGATCACCCTGGAATTTCTAAACCAAGGAATTCAAAAATCCCCTTTTTTTTTTTTTTCTCCTCTCCAGCTGCAAACTCGAGGCTGTGGAGTTCCACCCTTGGTATTGAGCGGGGTTTAATTGATGGTTTTTACTCTTAGGGCAGTTTGAGAGCAATTTTCCACTAGGAAAGAAAAAAAATAGGAGGAGGGAAATGTGGAAAAAATGCTGGGAGAGGACATAAAACTCCCTCAGCTGTGAAGGGGGAATCAGGGTGGTTCCACTGAATCCCTAAAAACGGGAGCTGGATTTCAGGGATACAGAGCAGGCTCTAAATTTACTCTTGGGGTGATCCAAATGATGCAGGAAGAGAATTCCCAGCACATCCATGGGGTTGCAAATATCCAAGTTTGGAATCCAGTTCTGTTCTGCAGCTGATCCATGGGAAGGAAATGCAGGATCCCAAAAAATGTCACCTGAGCCACTGCACTGGGAGCTCTGTCAGTGCCGTGGAATTCAGTGCTGGGAATTGTCCCAGATTCAGGGAGGTAGAGTGGAAAAGTGTGTCCTGTGGGATGCTGCAGGATTTCTGGAAATTGTTAATCCAGGAAGGATTGGCTGAATCCTGCAGGACTCCATTCACAGCTTGGGTTTTACGGGAATATACACAAACATCTCTGTCCTGGGGTCATTCCCAGGCTGGAGCTCAGCCCTTATCCCTGAAAGTGTCCAGGTTGGACAGGGCTGGGAGCAACCTGGGATTGTGGCAGGTGTCCCTCAGATGCTGGAATTCCCAGAATTCCCAGAATTCCTAGAATGGCCAGGTTGGAAGAGACCTTCAAGACCATGGAGTCCAACCCAGCCCCAACAGCTCAACTGAACCCTGGCCCCCAGTGCCACATCCAGGCTTTGTTAAACACACCCAGGGATGGGGACTGCACCCCCTCCCCGGGCAGCCATTCCACAACTTTATCCCCCTTTCTGTAAAAACATTTTCCGGCTATCCAGCCTGTATTCCCTTGGTGCAGCTGGAGGCTGTGTGCTCTGGTTGTGTCAGTGCTGCTGGAGAAAGAGCCCAGCCCCCAGCTGAGCACAGGCACCTTTCAGGAGCTGTGCAGAGTGAGGAGGGCACCCCTGAGTCTCCTTTTCTCCAGGGGAGCACCCCCAGCTCCCTCAGGGGTTCCTCTCAGGGTTTGTGTTCCAGCCCCTCTCCAGCCTCGCTGTCCCCTCTGGCCGCGCTCATTGTCCCAAGGTCCTTCCCAAACTGAGGGGCCAGAGCTGGGCACAGCACTCCAGGTGTGACCCCAGCAGAGCAGGGACAGGGGCAGAGTGACCTCCCTGCTCCTGCTGCCACCCCATTCCTGACCCAGGCCAGGAGCCATTGGCCTCCTTGGCCACCAGGGCACTCTCTGGCTCGTGTCCAGCTGCTGTCCCTCAGGTCCCTTTTTGCCTGGGCACTGCCAGCCACACCGTCCCCAGCCCAGAGCACTGCAGGGTTATTGTGGCCACAGGGCAGGACTGGGCACTTGGACTTGTTAAACTTCACCTTGTTAGATTCTGCTCATCCCTCCAACCATTCCAGGTCTCCCTGCAGAGACCTCCCACCTTCCCACAGGTGGACACAGCTCCCAGCTTGGTGTCATTGCAGATTTATTGGTGACAGACTCAATCCCTCATCCGTGTCATTGACATTGAACAGAACTGGCCCCAGCACAGAGCCCTGAGGGACACCCCTGGTGACGGAATTCCCGGATCTTTAGGCTCCCTTCCAACCCAAACAATTCTGGAAATCTCTGGCTCGTCAAAGGCGGCTGGGAGATGGAGCCAACTACATGGAAACATGAGGGACACCCCTGGTGACGGAATTCCCGGATCTTTAGGCTCCCTTCCAACCCAAACAATTCTGGGAATCTCTGGCTCAAGGGCGGCTGAGAGATGGAGCCAACTACATGGAAACGGATCCTTGGAAGCCTCGGAGCTCCTCCAGCCCAGGAGCTGCACCTGATCCCTGGAATCCATGGATATGGAGAGACAGGATCATGAGGTTCTAAAGGTGGGAAAGGCAGGAGCTGAACCTGCCAAGGTTTTTTGGGATATTGTGTCTGGGACTGTCACACCTGGATTTTGTGAGGGTTTTTTTGGGAAACCTGGAATAAGGAATTATCTGTAGGAGCTACAAACAAAACCAGAAATTCCTGATTCTGTTTATCCCACTGGAGCCTTGCCCAGCAGGGCCTTCCAGAGGGGTTTTTTGGGATCTCTTGGTTCAAAAGAAGCCCAGAGGTAAAATGAGATTGCAAAAATTCCCTCCAAGTCTGGAATATTTACCCAGCCTTGGGGACACTCTGTGCTCATCCATCTGGCCACATCCCACGGGCTTTTCCTTTTTTTATCTGTGTTGTTCGCTGTTCCTTTTGCTCCTGGAGGGATTTGTGGGGAGTCACAGGGAAAAGGATCTGTCCTGTGTTTATCCTGGGAAGGTTGGGACGGGCTGAGCACGTTCCCCTCTGGCAACAATTCCCAGCCCAACCGGAGCCAACCTGGCCCTGCTGGTGGCACTGGGGACGGGCTGGAGAAGCGTTTTTGGGATCTTCAGGAGCTGTTTTCCTTGGCTGCACTGCCCTGGCTCCAGACTCTTCCCGTCTTTGCGAGGTTTTGGGGTAATTTATGGATTATCTGTGTCGGAATTGAAGCTCCTCCAGGGAATTGGGGCTTGCTGGAGTCAGCAGAAGGGGAGGGAAGGGAGGAAAAACCAGCCTGGAGGTCCCTGCTCCACAATGCAGCTCCTTGGAAAGTTCCAGCACCCCGTTATCCCACAGCACTTCTTGGGGTAGATGGGATTTTATGGGATTTTTTTTTTATTTTATGGGATTTTTTTGGATTTTATGGCATTTTACGGGATACAGGCAAGTTCTTTTTGCCACTTTGCCTTGTGGACAGAGAACTTCAGGTTTTATGGGATTTTTTTGGATTTTATGGCATTTTACGGGATACAGGCAAGTTCTTTTTGCCACTTTCCTTTAAAGAAGAAAAGGTGGACAGAGCTGCATAAGGAACTTCAGGGAATTCCAGGAATTTCTGTGTCAAATAAAACTGGAATTGAGCTCAAATCACAGATTCCTGAAGAAGTTGTTTGGGCTTTTTTATCCACAGTGGAGGGAAAAACAGGGATTCTATGGGGTGGTTAATCCTTGAGTTAAAAAAAAAACAAACATGGAAAATGGAATAGATCAGCTGAGGAAAATTTATCCTGGGATCAGTGCTGGGGAAAAAATCTGCAGATTCTTTAGGAGGAAATTTGGGGTTAAAATCAGGGGCAGTTTTGGCAACAAAATTAAAAAAAAAAAAATTAATAAAAATTCTGCTGTTAGAGGAAATTGTTGGAAAAGTTAAAATATTAAATTTCAAGGACATGCAGGTTGATTAATTAATTAATTAAAATCAGCTTCCCAAGGGATGAATAAATACAAATGTCAACCTTGGGGGCAATGGATTTTTAATTAAGAATTATAAAATTATATATTTTAATTAATTTATTTATTTCCTTGTGAATACCAACGGGAAAAAAATATTAAAATATTCACTTTTCTTTGGATAAAAAAATTCCCAAACTTCACTCCCTGCTGGAATCCAGGCTGGGATGGGATTAAGGAGAGGGCAGTGAAATTCCAGCTGATATTCCTGACTCCATCTCCAGGAGTGGTGTGGCAATGGAAATTCCTGCTGGAATGTGCAGGAAGGAAAGGGGAAAAGGGGGGGGAAAGAGGAAAAAAAGGGGGGGGGAAGGGAAAAAAAGGGCAAAATGGAAGAAGGGAAGGGAAGGGAAGGGAAGGGAAATTCCTTATTTATTTTTATTTGCTCTCCTTGCTGATTTTCCTTTCTGGTTATTCCCTGGCACATCCTGGGACAGTCTGTGCTCTCTTTTCCATCCTCTGTGGGAATGACCTGACCGGCTCAGCCATTCCCATCCATTTGTATCCCAGAATTCTGATGCTCCACTGATCTTTCCTCCATTAAACTCGGAATTTCCCTGTTTTAACAACCCCTTCTGCTCCAGGACTTTTGCATATCCAGGTTCTTTGGCATTCCCTAAAAAACTCTACCAGCTCCTGGCCTCTCCTTTTTCCAGCCCCAGAGGATTTTTTTCTTCCCCTTATTTTTTCAATTATTATTCCCCAGAAAAGGAGCTCTCCTAATGTGATTTTCCATGCTTCTCAACTTTCCTTGGCCTCTGCTGAGGTTTTTCTCAGGATTTCTTTCCCTTTTCCCCTTCCCTCACACAGACACAGAAACAATGAGGAAACAAAGACGCAGAAAATCCCATTTTTTACTGCAAAAACTCAGGACCAGGGTGTGTTTATCAGAACAACTTCCATTTTTCCTTTGGGGAAGATTTTTCCTTGTTTCCTAGGGAAATCATTGGAATGGGAAGGAATCCTCATAGAGAAAAGATGGATTTTAGCATATTTTTCTTTAATTTGGTGGGTTTTGCTTCTATATCCTTAATTTTCCATCATCCAAAGCACTTCCCCTTATTTTTTCAATTATTATTCCCCAGAAAAGGAGCTCTCCTAATGTGATTTTCCATGCTTCTCAACTTTCCTTGGCCTCTGCTGAGGTTTTTCTCAGGATTTCTTTCCCTTTTCCCCTTCCCTCACACAGACACAGAAACAATGAGGAAACAAAGACGCAGAAAATCCCATTTTTTACTGCAAAAACTCAGGACCAGGGTGTGTTTATCAGAACAACTTCCATTTTTCCTTTGGGGAAGATTTTTCCTTGTTTCCTAGGGAAATCATTGGAATGGGAAGGAATCCTCATGGAGAAAAGATGGATTTTTAGCAAATTTTGCTTAAATTTGGTGGTTTTTGCTTCTATATCCTTAATTTTCCGTCATCCAAAGCAGAGAAAAAAACACCAGCAAGGTTCTGTTTGTCGCTGATTTCTGGGAATTCCAGTTTTTCCCTAAGGCTGAAGGATATTCCTGGGATTTATACTGGTGTCCCATAAACACAGGGAAAAGGTGGAGTTTGGGATGGAAAAAGGAATCAATCATTTTTTGGATCGATTTATTCATGAAAAGAATTCCTCCCTTTTCCTCAATTTTGTATTTCTGTTTATATCCTTCCTCCTAAAGAAATTCCCAGGGATTCACGGTTCACATTCCAGTTTCTTCCATTGGATCTCCACAGGATCCACCTCTTCCCACGGAGGAGCAAGGCAAACTAAACAAAAATATCCAAATATCTTTAGGGATTTGGGCACATTTTGGAGCTCTGGAATGGGAATCTGGGCTGAAAAAAAAAGGAGAAATTCCAGCACATGGGAATCCAAGGCCAGTATCCGGAATTCTCGGTGCTTATCTTGTCCTGAAAGATAAAGATATTTTTTAAGAATTAGAGAAAAAAAGAAGGAACAAACAATTCCATCAGGAATCATCCTCAGCTTATCAATAAGTGCTGCCAAAACACCAGGAATCATCCCAGTCCCACAATCCTGTGCTCAGTGATGGAGAAAACATGGGAAGAAGTCCCTAACGCCTGGAGCAGGTAAGAAAATTCCATATAAAATGGTCCCAATTCCCTCAGGAAATCAGGACAAAATGAAAGGCCTGGTTTCATGCTGATACAGAGATGCAGCTTTAGCTTCCCTCCATCCCACAGGAATGGCCAATAGATAGAGCTGTTCCTGAATTTTTGGGCTCAGCTCCAGATTCCCACCGAGTTCAGATCCTGTGGCAAAGGACCTTTGCTCCTTCCAGGGTAGATATTCTGATGCCTCAGGTTTAGCTTTTCTATTTTCAGATTCTGTGCTGCTTTAGTGTGTGGGTCTGAGCTTCACATCAGGGCATGGTGAGCTCTGTGCACAGAGCAGGGAGACAAAACAATTCCTGCTCCAGCTGGGCACCAAGGACAAATGATCCAAATCTCAGCCCAAGAGCACAAACCCCGTGGGCTGCAGAGAGAAAAACAAGCAGGATGGGAGTGCAGGGGCTGAGCTGGAATTGGACACTGAACTGCAATGTGCACATGGAGCAGAGCTGATCCCAGGGAGAGACCCCGTGAGCGCTCGTGCATTTTGGGACCATTTGGGTTCATCTTGGGGGCAGCCCTGGCTGGGCTCTTGTGCTGCCCAAGGTGGATCCATGGAGGAGATCCTTTGAATCAATCCCTGCTTTATTCTTTAGCTCTGTCCAGCCTCTGTTCCAGCTCAACCTGCACAAGGCATCAATTCCATTTGACTTTCCCTAAACATTCCAGGAGTCCCACAGCAGGGGTGGGACGGCCACCATTGGATAACACCACCAAGGCTCATCGGCAAATCCCAGGAATGTTGGTTTCCTGGGAATCAAACCTCCCAGCCCCCTTTCCAAACCCATCAAAGATGCTCAGAATTTCTTCCCAATCCTGTTCCAGTTTTCCAGCTTCCCAGCTTTCCATGCTCACTTCTCCGGTGGCTGACGTTGGTTCCCATTGGAGCAGGAATTTCCCATGGCAGTGGGTTTGGATTAAGGATTGAAAACATCCCTGAACAACAGGCAGGGACCATAGATTGGGTTTTCACCAGGGCTCCTGATCTTTGGTATCAAAAACTGGAAACCAGTTGGAAAAGTCCAAGTTCAAAGGTAAATGCGTTAAGGAAAAAAATGGATACTAATAGGGAAAAAATAGAAATAAAGGGAAAAACAAAAACAAACCAAATCCAGTGGGGTTTTGTTTTGGCTTGTTTATATTTTGTTAAGTTATATCTTGGAACAAAATTTCCGAATAACCTGGATGTGACTCCTACTTAACCCAGAAACAAAAGTCACCACAGCACAGCCAGGTCAGCTCCAAAACCAAACCAAAGCCAGGCCTAAAAATAAACCAGAGCCACGGGAAAAGACTAAAAACAAACAAAGCAAACCCAAAACATCCAGACCAAATCTGAGAGCAGCTTTTCCCAGGATATCAGAATAGGTGGATTGGTCAAACCCTTCCCCAAGAGCTGAGCAGGGAGAAAACAGGGTGGAAGGCAGGGGGCACCTTTTCCAGTAAATTTGGGATAAACCTTGCCCAGGAAATCCTGGAAACAAAGCCCAGCTCCTTTGTGAGGGTGAGACAGAGATGCCCTCGGTGGTGCTGTGGTTTGGATGTGTTGGACAAAACTCCAGCCTCTTCCTGGAAAACCAATCCATTGTCAGGAGATGGTGGGAGCCAGATTTATGAAAAACCACTAATTGTACTGCCAGGGCGTAAACATTCCTGATTCCTTCTTATCTCTTTTCCTTTTATTTTTTCCCCCCTCTCTTGTTAGCTCAATTCTATTTCCTTGCTTTTTGAGGAGTTTGGGAGCAGGGATTTGCAAATGCATGTGGAAAATATTTTTTTCTTGGAAGTTTCCAGTAAATCCTAAAGGAACAAGGACTTTGAAATCCAGGAGAAGAGCAGAGGAGACTCACCTGGGCTCAGTTAGCCATGATGTGTTTCACAAAAGCTGGAAAAAAGAGGGAAAGAAGGATCAGTTATCCAATGGAAAACACAATTAACCTTTCATAGATGGGGTTTATCAGAAGAGTTAAGGATTCAGAATTGTCTAAAATTTGGAAATTTTGCCCCATATTTTCCATGGATTTAAACTTTCTTGGGAATATTTTAAGAAAGCTTTCAGGGCTCCCACCCACCTTCATAGTTGATGCAGCCGTTGGCATCTTCCTGCCCAGCCATCAGTTTATCCACTTCCTCCTCAGTCAGCCTCTCCCCTGCATGGAAAACAAAATCCCTGGATCAAAATCCCCAATTCAGGAATTTAGGAAGCTCCTAAAGAAGACAAATGGGAGTGAGAGAGAAGAGGGGCAGATTTCTCCTGGGGGGAATTTGGGGTGCTGACCACGGAAAAAGCTCATTTTGGAGTTGCAAACTTGATTCAAACTCCAAACTTGACCCAAATCTGGATCCAAATTTGAGAGTAAATTTGATACAAAATCCAGAAAGACAGGAAAAATATGGAAACCCACAGAATATTATGGCACAACTCATTTTCCTAAGAATAAGCTTGATCTAAGTGCCAAATCTTGAAAGTTCAGGTCAGTTTTAACCAAGTCCTGATGAAAAAACTCTCAGTGAAAACTCAGTTCCCCTCTGAGTTTGAGGTTCCAGAAGATTCCAAGGTCAAATTTGGGTTCTTTGGTATGGATCAGTGATGGATTTAATGAAATTCAATTTTATTATTTAAATATTTGGTGCCTATTGGTTTGTAAGTCTTCATTTTGGTGAAGCAGAATGGAGACAAACCAAGGGAATCATTGGGATTGGCAATGTTGGGATGATTTATGGGAATTTAATATTTATTGGAGAAATCCAACACATCAGGAAGGAGGGAGGGAAAGGAGAAGGGAGGGATGGAAGCACCTCTTGGAAACACAGAAAAATGGGAACAAGGCAAGGGAATAGGTGGGGTTGGAAATTCTGGGGTAATTTTATGGTGATGGGAATGAGATATTTATAGGAGAACTAAAACATGAAGGGAAGAGAGGGAAGGAGAAAGGCAGGGATGGAAATTCCCAAGGGAAGGTTTTCCTCACCCAGCGTGGCCAGGACGTGGCGGAGCTCAGCTCCCATGACGGTCCCGTTGCCCTCCTTGTCGAACACCCGGAGCCCTTCCACGAAATCCTCGTAGGTTCCCGTGTCCTTGGTCTTGGCAATGTGCTGGAGCATGGGCAGGAAGGTCTCAAAGTCGATCATCTTGGAATTCATCTCTGGAAAACCCAGGGGAAATGGAAGTTTGGGGGGATTCTGGGAAAAGCGGTGGGATACTCACCGTGAGGAGAAGATCTGTGGTGATAAACGCTGGATAAAAGGAAAGAAGAGTGTGGAAGTGGGAGCTTTGCATTCTGGGAAAGTTGGGAATTAACCATGGAATATCCACCGTGAGGGCTGAACTGTGGGGATAAATGTTGGATAAAAGGAGAAAAGAGCCTGGAAATGGAAGTTTGGGGGGATTCTGGAAGAGTTGGGAATAACGATGGGATACCCACCATGGGGTGGAAGATCTGTGGTGATAAATGTTGGATAAAAGGAGAGAAGAGAATGGAAATGGAAATTTGGGAGGATTCGGAATAACCATGGGATATCCAGCATGAGTACAGAAATGTGGGGATAAACATTGGATAAAAGGGAGAGAAGAACATGGAAATATGGGATACAGAAGGATATCACTGCAATCATTGCAGGCCTTCCCACCCATCTTTAGTGGAACAATCCGTGTCCTTACATCCAGATTATCCATTTGTTTCTCTGGATATGTTGGATATATCCATGTTTTTAGAAAAAACACGTGAATTCCCCCATAAATGCAATTTTTAAAGGCAAAAAAATTTGTCATTTAAAAACACATTGATGCCCAGGGCTGTTAAATTAATTAATTCCCCTTAGTTTGGGACAATTATCTTGACTTCCAGACCAATTTCTTCTCCCTTTCTGCTGGCAATTTCAGAGGCTGCTCCATATCCTGAGTTACTCTGCACTTAGAAAATGGAGAGGAACCTTGTCCAGGAATAATTCTGGGAGTGCCCTTTCCCAAAACAAACAGAGGAGGCCACCAACCTTCAGGTTTGGGTCTGCCAAGCAATTTCATGACCTCAGCCTGGGTCGGGTTCTGCCCCAAAGCCCTCAGGACGTCTCCACATTGGGCGTAGGTGATTTTCATCTCCGACTTGGGGGTCCGGTCAAAAAGGGAAAACGCTTCCTTAAATTCTGGAAGGGAGAAAGGTCAGGAGAAATTCATTCCGTGCTCTCTCGGATAAAAGATAAACCCAGTCTAAACCTTTGCCTCGCTAACTGCCTGACCATTTCATTTTGTGGTTTGGGAAAAATTTGGATGAGCTTTGTTATCTCCGATGTTTGTGTTCCTCCTTCCCTGCATTTTCCGGTTCCACTGTGGAATGGATTCGGAGAGGTCAAATGCTTCTCCCGTGGTATTTCCGTCTCAGTTAACATCAGAAAGTGTGGAAAACAGGAGAAATCCTTGGCCTTGGGAGCTTTCCAGCTGCTCAGGAGCACGCAGGAAGGCCCAGGATTCAACAGCAGCTCTGCTGATGGGAGAACCGGATCTCGGATTAAATGTTGGATACTTTGAGAGCACTGACCCAGCATGGCCCAGAGCTCCAGGAGCACCTCTAGGAGATGGAAATGAGCTATGCCAGGAAAAAACACTGGGATTATCACCCAACGAGCTGTGTATTGGTGGGGAGGGTGAAGGTGTATGGGAAGCTTTATCCCAAAATTCCAGAATGGGTTGGGTTGGAAGAGACCACAGTGGGTCACTGGTGGCACTCAGGGCTGGGCAATGCCCAGGGCAGAAGTTCTGCCTCCTGAGCCGGGGGAATTCCTGGGATCAGTCCCTGCCCATTCCTCTGGTGCCATCACTGGGTGCCCGGAGCAGAGCCTGGGACTGCTCTGACCTCCCTGCACAGAGACACTCAGGGACACACAGGGACACAGGGACACCCAGGGCTGGTTCCCCTCTCACTGGGGCTCCTCTCCAGGCTGAGCAGCCCCAGCTCCCTCAGCCTCTCCTGGGCACTGAGATGCTCCAGGCCCTTGCTCAGCTCCAGGAGCTCCTGTCCCTGCTGTGCTGAGGATCCAGAGCTGGACACAGCACCCAGAGGTGCCCCCAGGGGAGGATCTAGGGAACAGGGTTTGCTGTTCCCTCAGGAACTGGTGACAGGCCGGTTCTCCTGCCAGGTTCAGAGGTTTCCCTTCCCCATTCCCTAAATGGAATCCCTCACGACTGTGAGGAGCAGGATCCTGGTAAGAGCATTCCCATGGGAGAGGTTCCCCTTTCCACCACTGATTTCACGTGGATGTGGTGCTTGAGGGCATTGGCAGTGTTGGGGTCAAGGCTGGGATCGATGGCCTTAAGGGTCTTTTCCAAATGGAATTATTTAATGATTCTCATGCAGGATCCAGCACACACTGCCCCAGACACTCCAGTTCCTCAGGCACTCCTTTCCCTGCTGGAATTGCAGGGTCAGAGGAGGATCCCAGGGAGCAGCAGAAAAAGGCTGTTATCATTTATTGTTATCCTTTAACTTCATCCTTTATCCTTTAACTTCATCCTTTATCCTTTAATTTTATCCTTTATCCTTTAACTTCATCCTTTATCCTTTAACTTTATCCTTAATCCTTTAACTTCACTGTTATCCTTGACTTCCCAGTGCACCATCCACAACTGATCCCAAAAATCCCTTTGGCTTTAAATCCCTGGATCTGACCCTCTTGCTGCTGTTACTTTTCCACCTTTATTTCCCTCTCACGTTTCCAAACTCCAGGAAATTATTCTCTTTTCCCCAAATCCTGATCCATTCAACCATTCAGCCACACACTCTGCACCCCAGATTTTGTCCATCCTCCCCAATTCCTTCTCTTCATTCCATCTCCCCCTTTTTTCTTTCTTTTCCTTTCCTTCTTTCCCTCTGTCCTTCCTTCTGTAACTTCTGCTGGATTTTCCTCTCCTCCTTTCTCTCTCCGTTTCCATTTTGATCATTCCACTCCAATTTTCTTCAATTCCTTCCTCCAAACACTTCCAAACAGCACTGAACTTTTTCATTTGGGGAACATTAACATTCCCTTTTCCTCTCTTCCACTTTCCTCTCTTTCCTCCTCTCCCTGCCTCTCTCTCCTGATTTTCCCTCCTGTCCCTGGGCAGAGCCCCTATCCCTTTCCAGCCCCTCATTCCAGCAGAAGGCAATCGTGGATTTTCCTGGGCTCCTTGCTGACTGTGGAATGGGGGCAGAGACCCCTTCCCAGCTCCTTTCCCGGGGGTCTCACAGCCGAGGTGGGTGAGGAAAAATGGGGATTTTCCCACCTCCCTCAGCTCCTCATCCATCACCACTCTCCGACTCCCTGTGACCAAGTGCTGAGCACCATCTCCTGAAGATTCCCAATCCAGCAAAATTCCTGTCAATTCAGATCTCCAAGGCTTTGGGTTGCTGGGGTTTTTTTCGTTTTTTGGGGTTTTTTTCCCCCTACTGTTTTAATCTTTTCAGTTGCATTTGCTGACTCCATGAAATTCCCATCCAAGCACCAAAACCACCTCGGTGTCCTTTGTCCTCCCTCTGGCCAGGGACCCTCTGGATATTTTCAGATTCCTAATTACTGCTTCTTTAGCCTCCTGGAACTACTCCTTTTCCCCCTTTTCCAACAATTCTGGGAGCTGAAGAGGCCCAAGGCCAGAGTTCAAAGCAGACATTGCCACCAGGGATGGGTTTCACTCATGGCTGAGGAGCAGGACACCCCCAAAAATGGGATTTTTCCACAAAGCTTCACCCCAGACGATCAATTCTTCTCCACATTTTGGGGACCAAATCCTTTCAGGGAACCCTTTGTTCCACATGACATTTTCCTTAGCAAAAAGAAGGAATTTGGGGAGTTTTAAAAGCCCTTGAGGTGCTGCTGCAGCTTCTGTTTCTCCTCCACCACCTCATTCTGGAGTCAGCTGCCAGAACACCAACCAATCAACCCAGAGGATGGAATTCCTTTGGGAATTCCAAAGGAATTTGTCAGCTTTGGGATCAGCTGACAAACTGGGAAACATCCAATCTTCCTGAGACCCCTGGATCCTCCCTGGGTCAGCAGAGAATGACAAAGGGAGGTGATAATTAAACACCTCTCTGATTGATTTTCCCCTGCTCTAATTAACCCCTTTCCTGATCCCATCTTTTAAGGGCTCTCCCAAGGGTTTAAAGACCAAAGGTAAATCCTGCCAGATGTTTGATTCCATCCATCAATTATCCCACAAAACCCACGCTGAGGAGAAAGGGGACAGCTGCAGTCCCAGTGTTCCCAGGACTTTCAGGCAGGAGGTTTTGGGATCAGTTTCTTGAGCTGGGACAAAGGGTTTGGAAATTGATGCTGATGTTTGGCTTTGAAAGGATAAAGAAATTCCATGCCTGGTGTTATTTGCTGGATTCGGGAGAGCTGGAACACATTAAGTTCTGATGGAAGGCAGGAAAAATTCTCTGAGGCAGAGTTGAGGGTTTTCCTTTGAAAATATTGATACTGGTGGTTTTTTTCCTTAAGAAAAACCTGCATTTGGGCTGTTTTGGGGTGTAACTCCTGGAAATGGGACATTAATTCCCTGCTTTTCTTTTAGAGGGAAGGATTTAGAGGAGAAAAGGAAGAAAAGACAGGAATTAAAGCTCAGCCTTCCCAAAGTTGTTCCAATATCCCAGCCCCGCTCATCCCAGCACTTCCCAGGGATGGATTTACTGAGCTCAGAAGAGAAAAATCTTCCTCACCTTCGATCTGGTCAGGGCTGAATTCCACCTGGACGAGACAAAAACAAGATAAGAAAACTGATAAGAAGGGAGAAAATTACTCAGATAAGAATAAATTGGTTTAGTCTCAGCTTTATGATCCCAGAATTGGGAGGATTCACCTCCCATCACCCCAGGTTGCTCCAAGCCCTGCCCAGCCTGGCCTTGAACACTTGGTCACAGGGGAGGTTCAGGCTGGACATTGGGAAAAAATCTTCCCAGAAAAGGCTGGCACAGCTGCCCATGGCAGAGCTGGAGGCCCCATTCCTGGAGGGATTTAAGATCCATGTGGATGTGGCACTTGGGCACAACGATGGCCTTGGCAGTGCCAGATTAATTGTTGGATCTGACGATCTTTGAGGACTTTTCCACCCTAAATGAGTCCGTGACTCATTCCCCTTTTCCTTGGAAGGACACCAGGATGGTTTCCCTTGGGATTTTGCTTGTGGGAAATGTCCTGGCAAAAGGGATCTTCTTCTTCAGAACTGAGTTCACCCTGCCATTTTTTTCCTTTGGGAATGGAGGTTTTAAAGCCAGGACATTCCCATCCAAGCCTCCATCTCCCCAAGGCTCCCAGTGCTGAGGTTTGATCCAAAATCCATATGGGAGACAGAGAAAATCCCATTTGTGCCCTGCCCTGACCTATAGACAAGGCTACACATTCCATGAGGATACCAAACATCCCAATCCAAACCTTTCCACCAGCGTGATTCCAGCTTTCCTCATCTTCAGCAATCCTGGCTTTAGGGAATCATCACCTGATGGCATCAGCTGGATCCTGATGCCTCTGGATTCTTTCCCTGGTTTTGTCCTGGAGGCTCCAGGAGGGATTAACTCCACCCTTGGCCCTGCTGACGTCATTCACAGCTTCCAATCTCCTGGAATTTTTATCAATCCCAATAAACCCCGTCACTCCGCACTAAGCCAGGCATAGCTAAGCCTGACATCAGTCCCATGAATAAATCTGTTGTCACCCGGCAGTCAGGAGCAGAGCCGGGGGAAGCATTTAGACAATGGAGCCCTTCCAAGAGTGAAACAACATTCCTGGTTTTTCATAGGACACCGAGGATTCCGGGGATGAACAGCAGGATTTTCACTCGGCCGTGGCAGGGATAGTTTGGGAGGAAGAGGAGGTTGGATTTTAGTTTTTTTCTTTTTTTTCATTTATTTATTCTGTTGGGTTTTTAGGGGGTTGGGGTTTTTTGTGGGTTTTTTGACGGGCAGTTGTTTGTTTGGGGTTTTTGTTGTTGTTGTTTTGGGGTTTTTTTTACTGTTCCCTTGGGACACTGCTTCAGGAGGCAGAAATGCAGGGACTGGAAAGAGGCCAGGAAAACCATCAGGATCAGGATCCAGGGGTTGAGGTTACATTTGGATTTCACCATCATGTGGGGCTTTTTCTTCCACTAAAACCTTTTTAATCCTATTAATACACAACATTCCCATCATCCCCTCTCCCATCACTTTCCACAGTAATTATGATGGATATAAACTCCTCCAGTGCCCTGGGATGAACATTGATCCAGTCTCCAACAGCTCCAGCCCTCCGAAGGAAAGGGAAGTAAAAACAGAAATCAACCCTTAATTCCAGCTTTAATTCCAAAGCAAAATACTTCAGGAAGAGGAATATGAAGCAGAATTTTTGTCAAGGTCATGCAGAGGTTGCTGCTGCATAAAAACCTCACAAAATTATTCCTCATTTTCTGTCTGCTCTTAGAATTCCAGAGGGCAGGGATTGATGGGATGTTGGGAAGGAATTCCTGGCTGGGAGGGTGGGGTGGGGCCGGGATGGAATTCCCAGGGAAGCTGTGGCTGCCCCTGGATCCCTGGCAGTGCCCAAGGCCAGGTTGGACAGGGCTTGGAGCAGCCTGGGACAGTGGGAGGTGTCCCTGCCATGGCAGGGATGGATTGAGATGATCCCGAAGGTCCCTTCCAACCCAAAACTTCTGGGATTCTAGCATTTTCCACAGGGAAGTTTTTGGCCCCTTTGGAAGTGGGACTGGGTTAGAGAGGAATTATTTTGGGAATGCTGTGCCTGCCAGAGTTGGAAACAAAAGCAGAACTCTCCTGTCACCACATTATCCCGTTATCCCGTTATCCCGGTGCCTCTTGGGCTACTCATTCCTGTTTATTTTTCCAGGGACATTTTGAAGAGTTCCAGCTCCTGGAGGTGGATTTTTAAGGAGCTGGAAGTGCCCAAGGATGGAGAGGACTTAACTGGCAGTTGGAATTATCCCATCCATGGGGTGGGATCAAACTGAACAGTTCAATCCATCTCTCCCAAAACCAAGCCCTTCATCCCAAGAGAAGCTTCCCTTTTCCCAGCCTCACGTGCAGCCCTTCTGCCTGTGGAACGCTCCAAGCTCTGGAGCCGAACAGGCAAATCCAGCAGGATTCCCCATCCCTGGTGCTGCACCATCCCTGTTTTCCCTGGCTGCTCACACCTTGGATGCTTTTCCATCTTTCCATGCAGAAAAAGGGAAGAAGATTTTCCATTCCAGTATCCCAGCAGGGCTTTGCAGGGACAATGGATTCCACATGGTCCTGAGATCCCAGTGACCCCCAAAAATAATTCCTGGCTGCTTTTTCCCCAGGAAAGTGTGGAAAACGTGGAAAACTCTCTACGGAAAACCGTGTCCCTTCCAGGTCCTCACGTATACCAGCTGTCTCCACGTGGATTTTGATCCCAGTCACCAGACCTGGAGCAACGTCACCTCATCCAACTTTAGCCACTGAAATGCCGGCACCCAAATTCCCAAATTCCCATCTCATCCCCCTTTATCCCAGCTTAGCATCTCCCAAGGGTGACTCAGCCCACCCAGATATAGGAATTGGGCACCATCCCAAAGGATGAACTTCCAGAGATTTTCTCCCTGTTCATTATTGGGGATTTAAATCCAACGATCCATTTTCCCACGGTTAAAGCTCTAGGAGCCATTCCCACTCAAAAATCATTAATTAATCCCATTTTTTAGATTATTTTTCATGGAAGCAAAATATATTCCTGGGAAAATGCACCTTCCTGTTAAAAAGCTTCCAGGTGGGAATGAATTAAATAGAAGGAAAAGACAATTTTTTTGCTACCAAATCTTTTCAGGAGATTTATTCAGGAGATTCAGGAAATTTATTCCTCAAAAGAAAAATTACGGATATCATCCTAGAAAAACACTTCCTTAAAAAAATATTTTCCAAGGAATGAGCCTAACTCTTCTGGAAAATAAATCCCCCAGAACCTCTTTTGGATGAGCTGCAAACAACATCCAATTGCACCCACTCTTGGAAATTTGGGAAATATTTGGAACGTTGAAAATTTTGAAAATTTTGGAGCATTGGCTCAAATCCAGTGGGAATGTGCATGAGAGAAGCTCCAAAAATTTGGGATAATGGCTTTAGGTAAGGGATGGATCCCACATTTAGGCCCCTGAAACTGGCATCCCAACACACACAAAAAACAGACCAGGAGCATCCAAAGGTGAGAGTAAAAAAATGGAAAAATCTGATATAATTCCAGGTGCCAAATAAGATCCTGGGATCATTATCAGGACTGGGAGAGGTGGGAAAATTCCAACAAGGAGGACCTTTCCTTATCATGGGAATATTTTGATTTTGAGACTTTTTAGTGATTAACTAAAAAAAAAAAAAAAAAAAAAAAAAAGTCTCAAAATTCCAAACACAACCAATAAAATCTGGGAATAAATAGAAATAATTTGAGACATTCCCATAAAAGGATTAATTTTGAACATTTTGTTTGGATACAAGGTTGTTTTTCCAACTTTTTTCATCCACAGTTTGTGGAAATGAGAATAGATTTCATCCTGCAGTGGAGAAATTGGGATATTTGGAGAATTCCAACCCTCATTAAAGCATTTTTCCAAACCTGGGGAAGGGATTCTGGGCTCCAGCAGAGCTGGATTTATGGAGCAGGAATTTGCACAAACAGACAAGGGCATTCCTGATCAAATTAAAGAATTCCCAGGAAAACTTCTCTAGGAAATATCCCCTCTCCTTTCTATAAGGTTGGGAAAAAAAATGCCCGAGACTCCAACTCTGTATTTCCCAAATTCCCTGATCCAGTATTTGGGAATGGGATATTCCCTGCAGGGATTGGAATTTGTTTATTATTTGGGAATTCCAGACAAACTTTTAGCACCTTCAAAGTGAGATAAGAACTCTAGAATTTTTATAATATTTATAGTATATGTAACCTTCAAAATGCCAAAGTGAAAAATAAATATTTCCATGAAAAAATAAGAATTTTCCCAAACAATTGTGCAGAGTAATTTTTAAAAATGCAGGAATTATTTTTTTTCCAAGACAAAAATAAATATGTGGAGCACGGAATTTTTTTGATTAAAAAAATAAAGATTTTTTTGAGCAATGCCAATTTGGGTTTGGGGTTTTTTTAATGACAACTCATCCCTGCTGCCCTTGGTCCCACAATGTCCCAGAATCCCAGTGGATGTTCCTACAAAGTCAGGGTGTCCTGGCTGTGCCTCCAAGGGAAGTAATTCCCTTTTGTCCTTTTCCAGCACTGGAATGTTGAGCACGGAGCTGTCGGAGAGAGCTGGATCCCACCACAAACCTCTTTCCCAAGGTCATGGAATTGTTCTGGGAGCACGGCACCAACTCTGGAGTTATTCCCTTCAAAACTTCCCCCAAACCAATTCCTTGGGACTTGATTTCTTTATTTGTTACAAATCATTGCTTTTTTTCACCAATATATAAAGATTTACAGAAAATTTGGGATTCAAGGCAGGAAAACAAATCCCTTGCAGTATTTGTCCCAAATCCTGAGCTGCGGGACTTGGTCCCGTGTGGAAGAGAAGGATTTAATCACTGAGTAGACAAAGCAACTTATTATCTTTCTCACATAATTCCCATGTTTTCCTGAGGGGAAACTGCTTTTTGAGGATCCAGGGATATTTATGGCTTGGGAATGTTCACCTGGAGAGGAGAAGGCTCCAGGAGAGCTCAGAGCCCCTGCCAGGGCCTGGAGGGGCTCCAGGAGAGCTGGAGAGGGACTGGGGACAAAGGATGGAGGGACAGGACACAGGGAATGGCTCCCACTGCCAGAGGGCAGGAATGGATGGGAGATTGGGAATTGGGAATTCCTGGCTGGGAGGGTGGGGAGGGGCTGGGATGGAATTCCCAGAGCAGCTGTGGCTGCCCCTGGATCCCTAGAAGTATCCAAGGCCAGGTTGGACACTGGGGCTTGGAGCAGCCTGGAAGAGTGGAAGGTCCCTGCCCATGTAATGGGATGGGATTGAAGGTCTGTCCTAATCCAAACCATTCCAGGATTTTGGGATTCCCTAATTCTGTGATTATCTGCTCCAAATCCCCACTAAAAAGAGATCCTGCAAAGCTCCTCTTCTTTTTGTGAAGTCAATGTCCTTTCCCAAAGGACCATTCCCAAAGAACAATTCCTAAAGGACAATCCTTTCCCCCAAAGGACCATGCCCAAAGGACAATTCCCAAAGGCAATGCCCTTTCCCAAAGGACAGTCCTTTTCCCCAAAGGACAATTCCCAAAGCACATTCACAAATGTCTTTGTGCCCTCACAAAGAAATCCTCCTGTGCCTTGCAGTGTTTATCCCTCGTGGGACATTCACTTTTCGGCACAAACCCAATTCCCAGCTAATTTTTGAGGATATCAATTCTCAGTATCCAACTCCTCCACCGGCTCCAACGCCACCACAGGATCAAACCTACTTTGACTGAAGCTGGGTTAAATTCCACTTCTTTTTTGGGCTCTGGTTCCGCTGGTTTTGGCGCTGGTTTGGGATCTTCCTTCTTAGGCTCGGCCTTCTTAGGCTCGGGCTTCTTGGGAGCCATGGCTGATTTGGGAAGGAGAGAAGGAGAGGGTCGGAAAGGCAGGAAAGAGGAGCTGCTGCAGGAAGAATCCCGGGCTGGAGTGGGTCTTTATCCCCTCTGGAAGTGCCACATTGTCCCTCCCAGACCTGTCACATGCCACCGCTCACAATGGGGCCACGGCTATAAAAGGACAAGACTGGCCCCGGCTATTTTGGATCCTGCCCTTGGATCCGGCATTGTTCCCAATTAACACTTCCATGGAAAAGAGATTTTGGGGGTTTAGGCTGAGCCTGGCGCCGGCTCAAACATTTTTGCTCTGCAGGGACAAGGGGGAGGCTGGGTTACGATCCAGGTGGCCCGATGGGTTTGGTCCTTGCCAGGGCCATCCCAAGTGACATTCCCAGCTCCTGAGTGACATTCCCAGCTCTCTTTTCCAGGCTGGATGGCCCCCCTGGCCTTTGTCACGCAAAGATAAGCCCAGGTTTATATTTAGAGCTGAGGATGCAGCTTTAGGGAAGCTGAAGCATCCACGCGGTGTCAGCTGGCACACGGAGAATTCCTGTCTCGGATCACACGCTGCCCTTCTCCTGGGAAGGGGCCCAAAAACCAGGATGGCTTTGAGGAAAATGCATCCAGGAGCAGGGAGAACACAGCCCCACAGGGAAGGGGCAGCGCTGGAAGTGCACCCTCAGGGCTGAGATTTTCCAGGCCTTTTTAGGGACTCGAGTGCCAAATTCCTGTCCGAAGGACTGAGATAAGAGCATCCATTTGGAGCTTCCCTCATCCCAGACTCACTTGGATTGGATAACCCCTCCCCTCGAAGCAAAATGCAGGGAATAACTCCCAAATTTATGTCATTTTTCTGGGATGTTTTCCATTTCCATGTAATTTTTCTTTACCAGGAGGACCCTTTGACACAGGGGCACTTGCACATTCCTTGGATTATTTGTATTTTCCCAAAAACCTGGGACAAAGCAGCCACCCACCAAATCACAGGGTACTTGTGAGGGGATCCAGGCTGGAATTCCAATAAATATCAGTTGAATCATAAATCTCTTGGAGTTCCTGTTGGTGTCATCCTGGATATCCACAATCCAAACACAATCCTTCCATCTGCTTTTCCTGGATCCCACCCTCTTCCCAGATTTTCTCCAGATGGCAAAGCCCCGCCGGAAAAGTTTTCCTGCAGGTTTTTCTTTCCCAAATTTCCCGTTTTCTGTCCCAACAGGAATTAGGACAGGAAGGTTTCTGGGATCAGGAGGGATCCCTGCAAACTCAGCACGCTGGAGATATTCCTGGGAAGAAACAGAACCATGGGATCACTGAATCCATGGAATGGTTTGGGTTGGAAGCACCTGGAAGATCATTTATCCCATGCCAATGGACACCTTCCATTAGACCAGGGTATTCCAGCCTGGCCTGGAAAACTCCCAGGTACTGGGAAAAATAACAGAAATAACAGGAATCATTCCTTGTTTTCATGTCCTGGAAAAGTTTTTCCCTTTTTAATTCCTGCATTGGAATGAGTCATGGCTGCAGAATTACACAGATCCCAAGCACAGATCCAGAGTTTTCACAGATCCCAAGAAATTCCAGGGATTTATTTCACCATGTTCACTATTAATTCCTCAATCCACATTTCTGGGATCAGCACCGACCCAGGGAATTTTGGATCCTGCTCATTTAGAGCAGCAAAATTCCAGTGAAAAATCAGTTTGGGATCTGGGATGAGCTGCAGCCACAGGGACAGGTTTTGCACATTTAAAAAGCCACCAGGCTGCATTCCCAAATGGAAATCAGCCCTGGAAAATATCAGGCCATTAAGATGCCAGCAGGATCTCAGCAGCAGCTTGGGATCGTCACCTCCACCTCTGCCAGATAAGAAGAGCCCAGGAAAACGAGGAAAGACGGATTTGCCTTCTCTCCCAAATGCCACAAATCAGATTTCCCTTCTCTCCCAAATCCCACAGATCTGCCACACTTGGGAAGTTTGCTGATTTTTTGGGGAATTTTTTTTTTAATTTTTTTCTCCTCAGCTTTTTTCCTACTGAAAATAAATAATAGGAAAAATGGTCAGGAAAAAGGGCTGGAGATGACCTCAATTGGATTTTCAGGCAAAATTCTGGATTATCCAAGATTTTCTCCATAGTATTTTTATATATTTATGGTGAAGAATGTTCAGGAATGATCTTTTGCACTTCTATGAACATCAAAATGTTCTCGTTTCCTGACATTTTATGGGAAGCCACTTCTGCTTGGATTGGAAAATTCTGGATTAAAATCCCCGTTAAATCCTTTGGGATTTGGTTGTGTCTCCTCCTGTCTGTTCTTCCTCTAAACCCAGGGCAAATCCACGGATTTCTCAGGAGTTCATTGGTGAGGATCTGTGGATGGCCAAAATCCCTGAGCAGATCAGGTGGATTTCACAGGAAACAGTCAGAGGGCAGGGATAGACGGGATTTGGGAATAAATCCTCCCCTGGGAGCATGGGAAGGGGCTGGGCTGGAATTCCCAGAGCAGCTGTAGCTGCCCCTGGATCCCTGGAAGTGTCCAAGGCCAGGTTGGACAGGGCTTGAAGCCCATGGATTGGAAGAGGATGGTCTGATTGTCCTTCCCAAGCCAAACTATTCCAGAATTCCAAGATTTCTTAAGTTCATTTTTATTTAAATATCCAAAATCCACCCAAAGCAGGGAAGCACCTGATGGATTTTTAATCCCTGAAGGCACCAAACCTCTGCTTGGACCAATTCCATGGATTCAAGATATTCCAATGCCCGGCAAATCCTTCTGCCAACAGCCCAATCTTTTCCGAAATCCCTCATCCATCTCTTCCAGGAAGATCCCTGGAATCCCAGCAGCTCCCAAAAAACCCCAAATCTGCCCAAAAATCCCTTTCCCTGTGAGTGGATTTGGGGCAGAGGGTGGAGATTCCTCCTCAGCTTCTCTGTGCCAAGAAGTTATTCCAGAGTCCCATAGGAGAAGCTGGGATAGCTGGGAATTGTCTAAAATTCCCTGGATCCTCGGGGTAGGGTAAGTTTCTCCAGGACTCAGCAAGACATTTCCCACAAAACCCAAAACCAACTGGATTTAAGGACCAGAAAATTAGGATTGAAGTGAAAACAAAACATTCCAGCCAAAATCCGGATCACTGAAATTTGGGAATGCTGCCACAGTGCCTCATGATCCTTGATAAGTCTGGCTGTCCTGAGGAATGGAATGCTGGAATGTCTGCTGGAATCAGGTTGAAGGGACCTCAAAATATCTGGAGCCACATTTCATGGAAAAGGGACCTGGATGAGATTATCTCCCAATTTCCCTCCTTTTCCTGCATTTTGCCACATTCCCCCTCAGGTAAAGGAGACTGGAGAGGGAATGTGAACCCCTTTTCTCCAAGGAAAACAAAAACCTGGGAGAAGTGACCAATTCCCATGGAATATTGTTGGGGGCTATTAAAATTGAATTATTTGGGGGGAAAAAATGTATCAGTTTTCAGATGTTTAATTTGTCCCCCTCTGGAACGTTTTGGGATTTCTGTTCAAAATAAAAATCAAATTAATTTGGGATTTTAAACTCCAATTCTCACTTCCAAAACATCCCTGGAAGGTCTCCAGACATCTTTAAATGAGAGTTTGACACGTCAAAGATGTTCCCATTCCAACCAAAAATTGTTGTGCAACTTTTCCCACTAAGGAATTCTGCCCTTGGAATTGGGAGATGGCCACAGCTTGAGGCCTTCCCCCGAGAGCATAAAAAAAGCATTTTTAGAAGATTTGCGACCCAAAAACGAGGGGTTTTTTTGGGGCTTCTCAGGCCCAGATGTTCCTGACAGATGTTGGATGAGGAAAACCAGCTCCAAACCACATCTGCTCCTCACCCTTTAGCGAACCCAGTTAAAAACAGAAATTCCAAGCTTTCCAAAAGGCTTTGGCATTTCCAAGATAATTGTGGAAGAAAAATACAAAACAGTTTAAAAATAAAAGGAAAACTATTAAAAAAAAAAAAAAAAAAAAAAAAAAAAAAAAAAAAAAAAAGAAAACCAGATGTAGAATTTAGAGGGCATTTCAATTTGTCTCCCAATTTTTTGCCAGATCTTCCCAGTTTTTCCATCAACACCAGAGGGGATAAAGCAGAAAGGGAAGGGAGAAGGGAAGGTGTTGGAAAAAGGGATGAGATGGGACCACGAGAGAGGGTTTGCCTCCTGAGAAGCTGCTGGGAGGCACAGAAATAAAGGGAAAAATGGGAATTTCCACCTGGATAAAAATTCCCACTCTCGAATTCCATGGGGTGCTCACCCAGCGTTATCCCTGTTTCCTATAGGAATTCCAGCTCCCAAAAAAAAAGCCAACTCCGACTTTTGGCCCATCTCTTCAGCTGCTCTAAATCAGGCACTTCCAAAACTTCAAGGGAAAAAATGCTGATTTATTCCAGCTGTGGATACGGAGCAGGATCCATCCACTCCTTCCCAACTTCTGGGATCAGGACAACACATGTTGGCTCCTCCCTGGGACAAGAAAAGAAGGATCAAAAATTAGAATCAAAAGTATCTCTTCTATGAAAAATGGAACGTTAAAGATACCAAGCAGCAAAATCCAAGGGAAAATGTGCTCTTCCTCACGAAGCCATGCGGGATTTAATGGAAAAGTGAGTTTCTGATGGATCCTTGGATGTGGAGGCACCACGGGACAAGGAGCAGAAGGGATCTGGTTTTTGGCGTTCCACTGCTGCAAAGCCAGTAAAAAAATTCCAAAAGCCTGGAAAAAAAAAAAAATCAGCAGGATGCTTCAGGGGTTTCGGGAAAGAAAAACAGGATTAATTAAATCATTGAAAGGATTAATTAACAATTACTTCTGCAGACTTCATGATAGCCTATTTCTGTTAATTACAGACTTCTGTTCCCTTTGGAAAATTATCCCAGTCCTCCTCCTGTTTTTTCTCAGAGATATTTAAAATTCCAGCCATATCCATAAACACGGATCCCTTCGCAATGGCGATCCAAGGAATTTGCACCTTGCTATCATTTTTTATTGTGATTTGAATCCCAGGATTCCCTTGTGGCTGCAGCAGGAACCACAATTCCAGCTTTTATCACAATTAGACACAGGGGGGA